GTAGAGGTACCTTACAGTATTGTTTATTCTGTCCTCTTCTACCCTGGGATGCAGAGGTACCTTACAGTCTTGTTGTCTTTCCTCTTCTACCCTGGGATGTAGAGGTATCTTACAGTCTTGTTTAGTCTGTCCTCTTCTACCCTGGATGTAAAGGTACCTTACAGTCTTGTTTAGTCTTTCATCTTCTATCCTGGGATGTAGAGGTACCTTACAGTATTGTTTAGTCTTTCCTCTTCTACCTTGGGATGTAGGGGTACCTTACAGTCTTGTTGAGTCTTTTCTCTTCTACCCTGGGATGTAGAGGTACCTTACAGTCTTGTTGAGTCTTTCCTTTTCTACCCTTGGATGTAGGGGTACCTTACAGCCTTGTTTATTCTTGTCTCTTCTACCCTGGGATAAAGAGGTATCTTACAGTCTTTTTTTTTTGTCCTCCCTCAACTACCCTGAGATAAAGAGGTACCTTAAGTCTTGTTTAGTCTTTTCTCTTCTACCCTGGGATGTAGAGTCTTGTTTAATGTTTCCTGGGTGTTTCTCTCAGAACTACCTCTCTGCACTGTTCCCTCTTTTACCGCTCTGTCTGTCGCTTTCCACCTCTGTCTCCATCTTTCTCCTTCTCTTGTCTCTCACACTCCTTATCTCCATCTCTCTCTCTGCTTCACTCTATCCAGCTTTCCTTCTTTTATCTTCGCCCATCTCTTCTCTCCCCTTCTCTCAAAATCTCTCTCTTCCTCTCTCTCTCCATCTCTCTCTCCATCTCTCTCTCTCTCTCTTCTTTCCTTGGCTGGCTCGGCACAACTTGATGAATCATTGATGCATGATAAGGCAGACGTAGTTGAGGTTTTTTGGGAGCATGTGTACAAGTTGGCAACAACAAACTGATTATCACAATCTGAAGCGTTGATGGAAATTCCCAGAGTGCTGTCATTTCTGTTCTTAATCCACGGCCAGCTCCAGATATAAGACCGTCAGCTCAACAGGAATTCCCGTTTTTGTGAGGCTGGCGTGGCAACAACTGTTATCGAGTAGATTTATACACAAATTGAAATACAGTTTAATTAATTCGCAGCATGCTTTATTGAATAAATTATTATTTTAAAGATTAATGAATAAATGAGCTTTAAGAATCTTCAGAATAATAATTCATTCAATAACACATGTTACAAATTAATTAAACTGTAGTTCAAATTGCCTATAAATCTACTCGATAACAATTGTTACCATCCACCGGTTACGCCAGCCTCACAAAAACGGGAATTTCTGTTTGAGCTGGACGTCCTTATATCTAGAGTTGGTTGTGATTGAATCAAATCAAATCAATCTCCCTCCTCTCTCTCTCTCTCTCTCTCTCTCTCTCTCTCTCTCTCTCTCTCTCTCTCTCTCTCTCTCTCTCTCTCTCTCTCTCTCTCTCTCTGCACATTCTCTTCTATTTCCGCATCCTCTCTCTGTCTTTCGCTGTGTCCTTCTCTGTCTTTCTCTTTCTTTCTCTGTTCATGTCTCTCTTACTGTTTAATCAAATGTATGTTTATATGGGGGTAGGAGCCTGTCCTACTACTAGCCGTGTCCACCCGGTGGCGGATGGTGGAGTGGCCTCTAGATCTAGAGGTCAGCCGTGAAAATATTGAAGAAGTGGCCCTGGACCAAACCAGGTGGTGGTCACTGGGAAGAGGCGAACTAGCTGGTGGGACAGCTAGATCTATAAAACTCCTTGACATGGCCATCGGCGAGTAAGAGGCACAATTACAACCTCCCTTCTCCCCCCTTTTCCTTCTCGCCCGCTGCCTTGCAGGGTATGTCATTGTAAACAAAGGCGATTGGAATTGAACCAGAAATTAATCTGAGGAAGCCAAGGGGAAACCACCCCCCCCCCCCCCCATGGTAAATCATGCCTTTAACACAATCGAATTCAGACAACGAGGTTATACACTCAGTTGCACATCACAGATTGTGGAGAAGCATGATAGCTCACGCCAGTCGGCAAGGCACTTGATGATGATGATGATGTTTATATGGAGTTTTCCTCTGCTACAGTTCTTCAATGGGGTTTGGGGACCCATTAAGGTGGGGAGGAAATAACAGACCGCCTGCTCTTTCAGCAAGCATGTCGTGAAAGAACACTAACCAGGGTGTGCAATAAAATCAGTTAAATTAGGACGAAAGGTCTAGATTTCATATTCTTGCTGTAAACCACAACATAGCGCACCTACCGCCCGTGCAAGGGTGAGCGGAGAAGAAGAAGATTCACTACAACTGTGTATTCAAGTCAAAAGCGCTGACGCTAAACACGAACACTACACAGGTAGTCAAAGAAGAATAGTAAACAAACACAGAACTGGTGTGATCAGTGGCCACATGCTGGGGGATATCCTGAAGATGGGGTCGGAGCTCTTATGGTCTTGTCCGATTTGCAATGAAGATAATCTGTCGATTAACTTACTAACTATTCGGTCTTTATCCACCAGATTGCGCCATCCAAATGGATAAAGGCGTCTTCACCTGGAACCCAGACTCCACCTTCAGGCTCAGTGGGTGAGTAGTGGATATGTATCCACGATAATGGATGAGTTTGTGACGTGACTGTCTTACACTGAGTTGGTTGGGGATGTTTATCCGTGATAGTTAATTCAGTTCCAATTTTGACTTTGTATCCATGAGGATAAAAGTGGCATCCGTGTGTGGGTTCCGGGACCCTGTTATTGGGAAAACAAGAAAAGACCCACTGTCTGTAGCAAACGTGTCGTATTAGTCAACTTACTGGGGATTTTCTTCGAAGTCGGAGTGCATCTGTCGAAGAGATCCTACAGTCTGGTTTAAAAAAAGCCAGCTCTGTAAGACAGATGTGCACGCAAAAAAGCCAGCTCTGTAAGACGGATCTGCACGCAAAAAAGCCATCTCTGTCTGACGGATCTGCACGCAAAAAAAGCCATCTCTGTATGACGGATCTGTACGCAAAAAAGCCAGCTCTGTAAGACGAATCTGCACGCAAAAAAGCCATCTCTGTCTGACGGATCTGTACGCAAAAAAGCCAGCTCTGTAAGACGGAAGGCGAAGACGGAAGGATCAAATGTCCGGAGTGCTGGGATATCGGTTTTTATTTACATCAAAATTAAAATCCCTTTGCTGTCTCGGAGTGTCCGCTTCTTTTCTTCTGCTGCTCTACTGCTTTTTCCGTGAAGCGTCACAGAGAGGAGTTAGGTGTAGTGTTCTTTCTTTGGCGACAGTAGCGAGGGAGATACAAGAAAATTAGTAACCATGGAAATGAGATGTCTGAGAAGGGCTGTAGGAGTGACCAGAAGAGATAAGGTTAGGAATGAGATCATAAGAGAACAAGTCGGCACAGAACCAATTCTGGATTACATACGAAGACAGCAAGTGAAATGGTTTGCCCACTTAGAGAGAATGCCTTGCGACACCATACCATCCACAGCATACATGGAAAGAAAAGAAGGACGTAGAGCGCGAGGTAGACCAAGAACAAGATAGAAGGATAACATCAGAGAAACTCTACAACAGCACGATGTGCCTATGGTCAAGGCAGCCAGAAGAGCTAGAAACAGAACCTTATATCTCCCTCGACACCCACAGCGGTAAAAGAGGAAGTGAAGAAGAAGAAGAAGAAGCGAGGGAGAGGCGTGGTCTCAAGGTATGGTGTCCGCATCGAGTGCTAAAGGTCCCGAGTTCAAGCCCCGGTAAAGGCTGAAATTTTAGTGAGATCGGACGCTCGTGTGTAATGTTGCGCAACAGAAAAAAATCCGTTGGCAGTTGGAAACCGAAAAGAGTAGCCTAACGGCGCTCCCCAGGCAAAATTTGGAATTAAAAATCTACCTAAAATATTTCAGTATCCTCGCCGGTGCTACGGAGCTCGTGCAATGCGCTGGGCTTCCTCGGACTCAGATTCGAGGTAGAAGTCGAACGGAGCAGTTATGGGTTACTACCCGTGTTCAATGATGATTTGTTGTTGAGACCTCCAACTTCAAACCTCAAACCTTGCTATAGTTGCTTAGCTTGTGTTAGTATCATATTGCCTTTTTTGTAACGTTTCCTTTTCTTGTACTTTATTGTTGTCCGTCATCGCCTGTAATCTCTAGTGGAAAGTTCCGATTATTTTTCCAGTTCTAGACTTTAGTCTTGTTCCCCAACTTGAATTTGAATCAAATCAAATCAAATCAATACTGCTAGGGTATGTCTTATTTTGGGTACTATTTCCCACATTACAGCTCTATTCGCAATCTCTTTTATTGATTAAATTGCTAACAGTATTAAGATGAGACACTTGGGTGACATCATAAATTGTTGAACAGCCACATTGCAATACCTGCCACTGTTCAAAAACACATGATTTTTCTTCAAAAGTTCTCCCCAATAAAGCAGAGATCAGTTGCTAAAACACTGGTATATAGCAGTGATACTATAAACTAATAGTTACATGGCGCTTGATTTGATTCAAGAACCATTTCGGAGGACTCGGGGCTTTCCCATAAGCGCTCCGTCCCCATCTTCACCAGCCAGCGAAGAGTTCCGATATTAATGGTGAAAGTAACATTCTGATTAAACGTCCGTCTTGCCTTTCCTCTGAGCCTCGAGCATCTGCCAGAACCTCTCGTCACTTCCCGCTGCATCAGTCTCACCAGACTGTGGTGATCCATCTGCTCCTCTGAACTGTACTCAGTATTCCACCAAGCTGTGCAGAGCCAACCAGTCTGTCCCGCTGTTCATTTCCCAACACACCTGCGTTTCCTGGAGAAAAAAAAATCCAGACAATACTCCTCACCCGTGTCCGCAACAGCGAGGCATGCCACTCTGCACGAAGCATACCTGTCCTGATCTTCCTCAGCATGCTTTCTGAGTCAGTTACAATCACTTGAAAATGACGTAACATACAAACGTAATTCTGGTGCGCCAATAACTGATTTAAACAAAAGTCTACAATTATCATATACCATCTACTATGGTCGTACGTGTGGGTCAGAATTTAGATTTCCTTTTGTTCGTTTTATCTGCAGGATTAGTCTGGAGATTCCTCGAGGGAGCTTCGTTGCGGTTGTGGGTCCAGTGGGCTGTGGGAAGTCGTCGCTGGTGTCTGCAGTCTTGGGAGAGATGGACAGTCTGCAAGGAAGCGTGCAAATATCGGTAAGTTCGTTGATCATTTATAATAGGACTTTACCTACGGGGCAGAATTAAGATTCTCTGAAGCCCTAAGCACATGGAGAAGGATACTGAATCCTGCTAGTTATAGTCTTCTCTGCGATGTGCAGCTCGCATGACATTATTGATATCACTTCTGTCCGGTGCCAGACTGGTCGTGGTAACCGCCTTGTCTGCCATATAATCTGCACGTTCACTGCCTTGAATATCCGCAGGGCCCAGAACAAAGGTTCGCGTTAAGCGAATTATTCGTGACGCACGTAATGAGAGAATCATTTCTTGTTTAATGAGGCCGGCCTTGATTTTCTTGAGCATATTTGATGATGCACAACATAAAGAGAACTTGAAGGCGACGGAGATGTGGTTTTTTTTAGACGAATGTTAAGAATCCCTGGGACTGCCAGAGTAACTAACGAGGATTGCTTGAAGGAAGCTAATGAAAGCAGATCAATATATACAGTTATAAGGAAACGACGAGCACTGTCGTGTGATGAGAGGGGAGAGGCTTTGGCGATTGTTGTAACGTCCAGGAAGATCAACGGTAGAAGAGGGAGAGGCAGACCGAGTGGGACGATGATGGATGGACTGCGACTGTGAAATGGAGGGATATCATCTGTGGAACTGATCCAGCGGACAAGAGACCAAGATCTGAGGAGATGCATAAACACCTACGACCTGGAAATAATTGTGGAAAGTGAAGTGACTGTAGGATGTGGTATATGCTCAAGAAAAGACACACAAAAAACATCTGATTACATTTAGCAAAATAATTGCTGAAACACTGTTTTGGCCGTTGAAGGTGAGTTATGAGGTATGAGTTGGATAATCTTCACAGCACTTCTGACACATCCATAGGTGTTCAGACTCCCCTCTCAACATATTCGTGTGCGTCCGGTGTGCTTTCCATGTTTGGCTGTGCCTATCTTTACTCTCATTTCTCCTATTCTTAGCAGAGATATGCACGCGTTGCTTCCAAAACCCTCTGAACGTCCTATCCCAGCCGTTGAAGATGTGGATGCTGTGAGTATACGAATATCCTGATTGCTAGGATGACATCTGTAAACTCATATTTCCTAACTCTATCCACCATTGTTGCAGGGCAGTACGGCCTACGTGCCGCAGACTTCGTGGATCCAAAACTCCACTCTCCGCAACAACATCCTGTTTGGCTACAGCTACAACCAGAAGAGATACCGGAAGATTATCGAAGCCTGTGCGCTAGTCCCTGACCTGCAGATTCTTCCTGGAGGGGACATGACGGAGATCGGGGAGAAGGTAATTGGGTAGATGTGTTGTAGTTGCAGTGTTTCTAGTAGTAGTAGTAGTAGTAGTAGTAGTAGTAGTAGTAGTAGTAGTAGTAGTAGTAGTAGTAGTAGTAGTAGTAGTAGTAGTAGTAGTAGTAGTAGTAGCAGTTGTAGTAGTAGTAGTAGTAGTAGTTTTTGTTGTTGTTGTTGTTGTTGGTGTAGTAGTAGTAGTTGTAAAAGTAGTAGTAGTTGTTTTTGTAGTAGTAGTAGTAGTAGCAGCAGCAGCAGTAATAATAGTAGTAGTTGTAGTGGTAGTAGTAGTAGCAGTAGCAGCAGCAGTAATAATAGTAGTAGGAGTAGCAAAAGTAGCAATATCAATAGTAGTAATAGTAGCAGTAATAGCAGTAGTAGCTACAGCAAAAGCAACAGCAGCTGCAGTAGTCGTGGTGATGGTAGAAAAGTCAATAATAGTTGCTGCATATCAAAATGCCCAAAAACAAATGATGGCGCTGGAAAAGAATCCCTTGGCTTGATGGATCGCAATGGCTATTGTTTATTACAAGCTCTTTGCTTCGGGGGTCAAGGGGCGAAGAACATTGTCTCTATCTTTTCTCCAGGGTATACCGGTTTGTTGGGAAATGAACAGGGGGACAGACTGGCTGGCTCTGCACAACTTGGTGGAATACTGATGCATGATAGGGCAGACGTGGTTAGTGCCTTGTGTGAGAGCTTGTACAGTTCGGTGGAGCAGAGGGATCACCACAGTCTGGTGAGATTGATGCAGCGGGGAGTGACGAGGTGTTCTGGCGGATGCTCGAGGCTCAGAGAAAAGGCGAGACGGACGTATAATCAAAATGCTACTGACCTGACTGGTATAAGAACTCTTCGCTGACTGCTGAAGATGGGGACAGGGCGCTTATGAAAATGCCCCAAGTGCTGTGATGTCGGTTCTTGAATGAGATCAAATCAGATCATTTAGAAGCTCTTTGATGTCATCAGTCTATATTCTCCTAGGGCTATCTCTTGCCTTTGCTTCAGACCGTCTAATGTGAGTTGCCTTTGTAAGTAGTTCTTCTGAAGTTGATTGTGAAGGATACACAACTAACTTCCCCTTACAATCACATCCTAGGGATTGAACCTCAGTGGCGGTCAGAAACAGAGAGTCAGCATTGCCCGGGCATTGTACGCCAACTCGGACATCTACATCATGGACGACCCTCTGAGCGCCGTGGACTCTCATGTCGGCAAACACATCTTCAAACGGGTCCTGTCTGATAAAGGCTTGCTGAAGAACAAGGTTAGTCTCTGTGTCTTCGTCATTCGTCTGTGGACTTCATCCCCTAGATGAAGCATAGGTCCTCAAATAACTCAAGCTATGTCCTCCCATCCTTCGCTGTTACATGCAGATCACCCCTTGACCTTCCTATCTTATTGACTTTACTCTTTAGCTCGCTTCTCCGTGTGTGTGTGTGTGTGTGTGTGTGTGTGTGTTTTTTCTGCCTCTATTTATATACCCCTGTGGGTTCCTTCACAGCATCCTGTCTCGTTAGCTGGAGTAGTCTGGAAATTAAACCAGTAAACTGTGACTAAAAAGGTTAACGAAAATGGTGAAGCAAAACAACACACACAAAACAACCCCACACAAATCGACGTTTCGGCCGGGGGCCTTTCTCGACATGAGCTGAACTACACAACAATTACAAAGGGGAGAGTACTCCAACCACCAAGGGTTCGCGTGAAAAACTATATAAAAAAAGGTGACGTAAATTTAAAAAAAAAAAAAAATTAAATTAAATTAATCTAAAAAAATTGACGTAAATTTAGCAATGATAATATATAATCTATTTCTACTAGTGTACCATCCTTTTTGGAGTATTTTGATCATGTGAACGATCATGGTTGCCTGGAGCAGTGTGGAGAAGACAGTTTCCGGAGATTGAAGCAGAAGTCGAGATCCGCGAAGGTGGATCCATGTCATTGAAACATTGACTATGAAGCACATAGGGTTGGAGAACTGGCTGGAGAAAGAGAGACTTTCAGGCGTGCTGCGAGAAGAGCGACGTTTTGTACAGAACTTGCTGACAGATGATGTGTGTTCCCGTGCAAACACATTGCAGTTATATTATTCTTAGGTTTTCTCACAGTGTGTCCTATCCAACGCCAGCGTCTCTTTTGCACCTCTTGATTTCTTTTTGATGCTTTCATGGTTGGTTGGTTTTTGTGGCTATTGCTTTTACAGCATGAGGTAGCCAACCCTAAGCCCAACCCTAGCCTTATTCGCCTCTTACGACATGTCTAGTGGAATGCAGTGTTACTATGGTGTGCTACGCGTGAGTTGCATTGTCTACTAGAATTTAAAAAAAAAATAAATTAAGGGCCTGTAAGAGGCTTCTAACGCATCGGTATATGGTGCTCCTCTACCCATATATTTCATAGATCTTCCTCGGATTATTTTTCGCGTTTACCGGCTGTGGACTCCGGCGGAAAGATCCTAATGTTCGTCCACCTCCGGACTTTAGTCTTGTTCCAAAATCTGAGTGTTGCCTGCACATCCATTTCACAGATCTTGCTTAATTGTTTGTGCTGATGAAGGCTCCATTGCCGCAACGTTCCAATTTTGTTTCTATTTGTTATATTGTGAAGCTTGCTAATATACTTTTCGTTCGGTGTTATATCTTTTCTTACCTGTATTCACAATCTTGGGTCCTTGCCCCTCTCAGGCAGATGCACTCCTACTTCAAAGGAAACCCCCTAGTTAGTCGACTACTACGACATGCTTGTTGAGAAGTCAGTGGGTCTATTATTGTTTTTCCCACAATATGGCCTCAGAACCCACACGGTCAGTTTATATAGTAAATCCACCGCCATCCGTCTCCTTTCAATAATTTGTTTCTGACATAGTTGATCTCCGATGCTTTGCTGTCAAAGTATCCAATTCACTTTATTTTGGTTTCCCTTTACCTCTTCTCCCCTCCTACTTTTCCACTGTCACTTTGTACTCCATTGTTCTTCTTCTCATCATATGAACAAAGAACGTAGATTGTCTCTTTTTGATGTGGGCAGTAATTTCTGTTTTTGAGTCAATTTCTTTCAAGACGTCTTCATTACTCTTCCTATCTGTCCTGGGTGTTCCCATCATTCGTCTACAAAACCACACCTCCAAATAATTTTTCACTAATCTACCGTCCATGATTTACTTCCCAATATCAAGAAAGGATTTATATAGCTATTAAGAATGAATCTGAAACCAAATTAATAAATAGATTACTGTTTTACAGTAATTGGGGGTAATATACTTTAAAAATTACTATTTGGGTTATCATCAGGACATCTACAAAACCACATCTCTGTCATTTCCACATAAGTTTTCACTAATTGGCCAACTGTCCATGATTCACTTCCATTTATTGGATAGGGTTTATATAGCCTTTAAGAAAATTATCTCACTCAAACTAATTGACCAACAAACAAACAAAAAGTTTACACAGAATACGTATGTTCCTTGTCGGCTCTGTGGCTAAGTCGATGCTAACGCTTCGTAATGCCGGGATACCGGGTTCGATCCCAGCTGCGGGCCATGCGCCGTGCGTTGCTTTCGACAGTGGTATTAAGAAAGCCGACCGTCCAGGAAGCAATGGCAAACTACTGGACGTAAGTTTGCCTAGAAAAACCACACAACAGCCAGGGGCTGTCGGGGTTGGTTCTGCAACGTCCTGTAAAGGATACACAACTAACCTTAACTCTTTGAGTCTCAAGGAACGCATCATACGTACTTTGGGTCCTACCAAGAAGCCCAGTGAAGGCAAGATGGGCCGATTCTACAATACTCTCGACTATCTCTTGGGATTCTGATGCTTAACCTCCTGGGAATCAAAGAGATAACCTTATCTTTTGTTCCTTACAGACCCGTATCATGACAACAAACGCAGTTCACTGGCTGCCCTTGGTGGACGTGATCATCGTCATGCAGGATGGTCGCATCACCGAAGTTGGTTCCTACCTGGAGCTCATGAAACGCGTGGGAAACTTCTCTCAGTTTTTGTTGACGCATTTCCGGAAATTTCAGGAGTCGGAATCGGAGGTGGATGAAGACATTGAAGGTTAGTACAACGACTTTCTGTGGAATCAATAATTGCGTTCATCTCGAACTGTCTATGAGTGTATTCTTTTTTTTTTTTAAAGCTGTATGGTCTTGGTGCTTCATTGTTGATATTATATTAGGGGACTGCGTGGTATGGTGTCCGCTTCGAGTGGTAGAGGTCCCGGGTTCAAGCCCCTGTGAAGGCTGGGATTTTTTTCTGTTCGCATTGACTTCTAGTAATTGCCCCCTGGTCTCTGGGTAGTGAGATCGGACGCCCGTGTGTATTGTTGCGCACGTAAATATCCCTTGGCAGTTGGAAATCGAAAAGAGTAGCATAACGACGCTGCCCAGGCAAAATGTTGAGTTAAAAATATATCCCCAAATATTTCCAGTGCTACGGAACCCTTGCACTGCGCTAAGCGACTTCGGACTCAGACTTGAGTTAGAAGCAGAAGCATTTGAGGGTTACTACCCGTGTGCCATGATGTTGATCGATTGTTCAAAACCTCAAACCTCAAACCTGTTGACATTAAATTTACTATCGCTTGCAGCACCATCTTTGCTGCCCGTGATGATACTCGTATCATCCATGAAAGCTCTCAGTGATCCCCAATCTGAAAGCCCTGAGTCCTTGGATATGTGGTTTTACAGAAAAATCCTCAGAATTCATTGGGCGTCTGTTTTGAAAGAGGGGAACCACATCAGAAAGAGACAGTCATCTTCTCGTCATGTTACGAGAAGAAGAAACCTGGAACATGTTATGACCACTGGAAAGATTTATCGAAAAAATTAGACAGAGGACAACGCGAGAAAAGGTTTGACGACCTTTTGCCATGGCATGGAGGGATGTCAGCACGCGAAATCATGCTGTCGAAGGTCGCAGGTTGTGTAGATGCATGATAGCCCACGAAAATAGTCAAAGCACTTGCTAGAGATGACACCAAGTTAACTTTACGAACAATCACTTAGGCATTTATTTTATCAGTACTGTAAAACTTATGCCTTCGTTCTCCATGTTTTGACCTCTGACGCAATGTTGTGTCGTCAGTCCGGCAGATGAAGATGAAAATGTGGGAACATGTCGAGTCTGTGACCAGTCAGTCAGAAAGCAATACTTCCGGAGAGGAGCTGATCAATTTCCACCAGAACAGGTGAGATGAGTTAACATTCTTCTTTCTCATCGTCCTCGTGATTCATACCATCATCATCATCATCATCATCATCATCATCATTATCATCATCATCATCATCATCATCTTCTTATTCTTCTTCTTCTTCTTCTTCTTCTTCTTCTTCTTCTTCTTCTTCTTCTTCTTCTTCTTCTTCTTCTTTCTTCTTCTTCTTCTTCTTCTTCTTCTTCTTCTTCTTCTTCTTCTTCTTCTTCTTCTTCTTCTTCTTCTTCTTCTTCTTCTTCTTCTTCTTCTTTTTCTTCTTCTTCTTCTTCTTCTTTTTCTCCATCTTCTTCTTCTTCTTCTTCTTCTTCTTCTTCTTCTTCTTCTTCTTCTTCTTCTTCTTCTTCTTCTTCTTCTTCTTCTTCTTCTTCTTCTTCTTCTTCTTCTTCTTCTTCTTCTTCTTCTTCTTCTTCTTCTTCTTCTTCTTCTTCTTCTTCTTCTTCTTCTTCTTCTTCTTCTTCTTTTTCTTCTTCTTCTGCTACTATTGTAACTCGTGTCGTCTTTCTTTCTTTCTTTCTTTCTTTCTTTCTTTCTTTCTTTCTTTTCTTTCTTTCTTTCTTTCTTTCTTTCTTTCTTTCTTTCTTTCTTTTTTTCTTTCTTTCTTCTTTCTTTCTTTTTTTTCTTTCTTTTTCTTTCTTTCTTTCTTTCTTTCTTTCTTTCTTTCTTTCTTTCTTTCTTTCTTTCTTTCTTTCTTTCTTTCTCTTTCTTTCTTTCTTTCTCTTCTTTCTTTCTTTCTTTCTTTCTTTCTTTCTTTCTTTCTTTCTTTCTTTCTTTCTTTCTTTCTTTTCTTTCTTTCTTTCTTTCTTTTTCTTTCTTTCTTCTTTTCTTTTCTTTCTTTCTTTTCTTTCTTTCTTTCTTTTTCTTTCTTTCTTTCTTTCTTTCTTTCTTTTTCTTTCTTTCTTTCTTCTTTCTTTCTTTCTTTCTTTCTTTCTTTCTTTCTTTCTTTCTTTCTTTCTTTCTTTCTTTCTTTCTTTCTTTCTTTCCTTCGTTCATTCTTTCTTTCTGTTTTCTCTCCTCCTCCTTGCTTGTCTTCTCTTTATTTTATGAAACACGATGACTAAACTACTATGGGAGCTCTCACTATAAAGTGCAAATTTGTTTTATATTTTGGATATTCGCAGCAATCCTTATTTCATACAGCTTTTTCATGTGTTTTTTTAATCACCGGTACATTATTATGGTAATAAATTCAGCAGCTATTTATAAAGTATGTATGTATGTGTTTAAGTTATACCCCACCAGGATATCACACAAGCGATAAACACCGGGTGACACAAAGTGCTACTATGTGAATGAGGATCACCCGTAGAGAGGTCTTAGAAACCCCGTTGAGCCGTTAGGCAAACGTCAGGGCCCCCGGCAAAAGCCAGTGTGGGGCTTCAAAATAACTAAAAAATTGCATCCCTCAAGGGGATGAGGAGATGTAGTAGTTATAAATTGGCATAAATTCAACAATTCTTTATGAATTCAGATTTGTGTGTGTAATATATTAATTTAGCAATTGGTTAATGTTTTTTAACACATCCAGCAATGGATAAATGTATGAATCAATCAAGAATTGGCCTTAATGCATTCGGGACATTCCCACATGCACTCCGTCCCCTTCTTCAGCAGCCAACGAAGAGCAGACATGCTAATAATATCAGTTACAATCTGATTAAAAGTGCACCCTGGTTTCCCCTTAGAGCTCAAAATCTTCCACAATCTCTACTCAACCCCTGTTGAATTATTTTTTTCATTTACAGATTCTCTATCTGTTCAAATGCGCTGATCCTATACAACCTTCATTGTGTTAGCTTTATCATAAAATAGCTCTCTGCCCTGAGGAGCGGCAACAGCTAATCTATTTGAACTAATATTTATAAATGATCTACAACTTCAGCAAGTGTTTATAAATTTAACAGAGCCTAACATTGCTTGGCTATCCACAGAATGGACATGATAGCAAACGACAACTTGATGATCCCCTCGCGTCCAGCGACTACCTCTATGGGCAACGGAAAGGCAGCTGGGGGAGCACGGAGACCAGCTGCCAATGATAATATTGTGAGATTGACTGAAGATGAAGTCACAGAAACAGAGACGGTAAGTTATTTGGTCAGTGCCGGATTAGACAAAAGCTAACGATGCACAACTTTGGGTTTGGTTCTATACAAAGCCTTCTCAACAATTTCCTATTTCCCTTTTAGAGTATTATATAAAATAATTTCTGTGATTTTTCAAACACATTTTGTCTACATACATTGCTACATACACAGCTCAGTGATGCTTTAAGAGTGTCGAGATGGTCAAGAGGAAATAACCCACTTCTTCCATAGGACGCCATCTACTTAATTCGGGACACGTAATTAAGACAGGCAGTGCTTGCTTTCCGTATAGTTGATCCCACTCCGAACAGGCGACTGTTAAGAATAGCCGAAACTTTAACAATTAAAATCAACAACCGCATCCACTGTAAGCAGTCGGAATTTATAGTAATTTGAAGTTACTCTAATAAGTCACGTGACTACGGTTAGCTTCCGGCGGCCAAAGCATACGATGTGTTTAAAGAAACTATTCGCATTTCAGTTAGATTTATTGAATATTGTGCTTCATTTTATCATGATGTAACTCTGTAGTAACGCACCTGATGAGATACAGTGAAATATGCCTGGCAATAAATTGTGCAATGTATTGTCTGTGTTTGTAATATGTAAATTTATTATAGCACAACACTGTTTTAAAAATTCTGTATAATTTCTGTAACTCAGATTTTGAGGAAATATGTCGACCCAGCCTAAAATGGGTGCCAGGATGGGCTGTCCTGGGAAAGTAAAGACAGCCGGCGTAATGCTGATCACATTACCCACAGAGTGCTGATGGGCTGTAAAAATACGGGACGCTCTGCCCATATGCCCGATGTGCCGAAAGGCGTGAAAAGGGAACTTTACTTTACTTATGTTTCCATAATCCCTAGATCTAAAAAGAGTACGTGTTTTACAGTTTTCTGAGGTTATCTGGTATAATTTCAAACGTTAGGGGCCTTTACATAAATTATGGGCCCATCAAGTCTCAATCCGGCCCTGGCTGTTGTGTATCATGATATGAGGCTCGCTGACAAACATACGCACACACACACACAGACAGACACACAAACACACACAGTGAAGGATTTCAGCCATGGGAGGTGGGGCCTGAGGCCCTTTGAAGGCCCCCCCCTCTCCATTTATGAACTGGCGAGGTGAAGGCAGAGGGGGCATTTGCTCCATAATATTTTGTTTTTAAAATAGAGACAGAAACTGCCGCTATAAATGTATAGAAATTATCATCAGTATCTTTTTTTTACACATTATATATTTTTTCAAGTATATATTATTTATCATAATTACCTGTCTTCTTCCTCTTCTTCTTCTTCTTCTTCTTCTTCTTATTATTATTATAATTATTATTATTATTATTATTATTATTATTATTATTATTATTCTGTTTCTTCTATTTCTTCTTCTTCTTCTGGTTCTTCTTCTTCTTTTTGTTGTTGCTCCTCCTCCTACTTCTTGTTGTTCTTCTAGTTCTTCTAGTTCTTGTTCTTGTTCTTGTTCTTGTTCTTGTTCTTGTTCTTGTTCTTGTTCTTCTTCTTCTTCTTCTTCTTCTTCTTCTTCTTCTTCTTCTTCTTCTTTTTCTTCTTCTTCTTCTTCTTCTTCTTCTTCTTTTTCTTCTTCTTCTTCTTCTTCTTCTTCTTCTTCTTCTTCTTCTTCTTCTTCTTCTTCTTCTTCTTCTTCTTCTTCTTCTTCTTCTTCTTCTTCTTCTTCTTCTTCTTCTTCTTCTTCTTCTTTTTCTTCTTCTTCTTCTTCTGATTCTTATTATTATTTTTAATATTATTATTATTGAAAATTACACACAACTAAAAAATTTCATGTATATTTTACAGGTGAGACTGCATATTCTTGGATCATACCTCAGAAATATTGGTTATTTTTCAGTACTTGGAGCCTTTTTAATGTTCACTTTATATCAGGTTAGTCTTGGCAGGACTTTTTTTCCTCATTTACGTTTTTGAGTCTGTTGCTGCTATTGACTTTGGCTATTGTTTGTGCACTTCATTTTCCCAAATGCCAGGTCATGATCAGGCACGCCGCCACGAAGAAAACATGGCTGGGGACTGTGCGGGGGAGGGTGGAGGGGAGTGGCACCTCAGCAACCCTTCCTGAAGAGAACTAAAAAAAAAGGGGGAGGTGGGGGGAGGGCCTCTAGACACCTCCACCCCATCAAGCAGGCCTTCCCTAGCACCCAAGGAAAACAGTGAGGGGGGGGGGGGTGCGATGAGATCCTTGTATGCGCCCACATTAAATAAATGTGGGGGGGGGGGGTTCCGCCACCCAATAATGTTGTAAGTAAGCCACACACACACACACACAAACACACACACACACACACACACACACACACACTCACACAATCCTTTAACGATGCATATAAATTATCTTTTAAAGTATAAGTTTACATATTTGATGTTACTTCAGATATTATATTTGTTTGCTAAGGAACATATTATTATTATCATCATCATCAACTTCCATTTCTGCCGTTAAGCGTCATGGGAAGGTACAGTTTGCGATTCATTCCTTGATGTGGGCAGCAATGGCTCTTGTCATTCCGTGTCGATATAGAAGCTCTTTAATGTCATCAATCCATGTCCTCCTAGGGCCGCCTCTTGCTTTCACTTCAGATATTTTAATGTGTAGCGCTTGCGTTGGTAGTTGTTCTACCTGCATTCCTACTAAATGATCAAAATATTCGATCTTCTGTTTCTCAGTGAATTTGCTGCATGCTGTTGTTCCTACAGTCTGTCTGATATCATTTTTAACTTTGTCTCGGATGGTTAAACTGGCGGCTTTTCTCAGGCATCTCATTTCACAGGTGTTAATTTTATGTTGGTTAGCCAGTGATAATGTCCAAGTCTGGCACTGGTAGCACTGAGTTGGTATGGATATGCTGTTTATAATCTGTTTCTTGACGCTCGTAATCATGTTTGGATTTTGGATGTCTTAATAACAGTGTTAGTTAGTATATAAGTGCGCTGGCTAGCTTGCATCGTGTTTCTATATCCAGGTCTATTCTCCCGTCCTCAGAGAATATAAAGTAAAGGACCCTTTTCCCCGCCTTTAGGCGTATAGGGCATATAGGGCTAGACCTATATTTTTATAGACCAATCGGCACAAGATGGGTGATGTGGTCAGCATCACACCGGCCGCCTTTACTTCCCGGGACTGCACCCGGAACCCACTTAAGGCTAGGTCCACCTGGGAGCCAAGGTCTCGGAGAATATACTTCCTAGATATTTACATTCTTTCACTTTTCAATTATGATAATCCTCATTTATCAGAAATAGTTGTGTGAATATTTTCTGGAAGGCTTCCAATGTGTTGGCGAGCGTGTGGTTGTCGAAGTGGACCGGTGACCCAGATTTGCAGTCGACCTCCTTCGTCAAGAACATGCAGAAACAGAGGCAGTACATCATAGTTTATGGTGCTCTAGGGGCTGCACAGGGTATGTTTGTTTCGTTTAATAATTGTATCTGTCCAAAGTGTCCGCAACTTTTGTAATTTCCCACAGGAAGGTGGGTGGTACATTATATGGTAGCTGTAGTACGTTTACAAATTCGTGCAGGTAATAAACACATTTTACATAATCGTTGTGAATTGTGAGAACAATGAAACTTTGAGGCTTTTCTGCAATTATTTATCATGAAGGCTAAGTCGTTTTTATTTCCCGTAAAAACACAAGAAACGTGCCTTGTTATGAAATATCTATTCATCAAATTTGAACTTCTTACGGTATAACTCTAAAAATGCAGCCAAGCAACGATCATTATTTATTGAAACGAGTATATTTTGAGTAAGCAAAAATGCGGTGTAATGACTTGTTATGAGGGAAACGAAAAGTGACATAACGTTGAGAATGAAATAAATAATAATATGTAATTTCACTACTGATATTGCACTACAGCTGAACAGATGAGATGTTGCCTTTTTGAAAACATACAAATTTGTAAACCCAGTATAGGATACGATGTCTGCTCCCGCCGTCACAGCGAATGTGATTTCAGCAAATCTGAATCATTTACCCTTGACGAGTTGAGTTGAGAATTGACATCACAGCGCTCGGGGCATTCCCATGCGTGCTCCGTCCTCATCTTCAGCAGCCAGTAGAGAGTTCTAACACTGATGATACCGGTCACAGTCTGGTTATATGTCCGTCTAAGTGTAGTGAGCCGGCCAGACCCTCTGGTTACACCCAGGTGCCTCATTCTCTCCAGGCCATAATAATCTTGTTTCTCTACTGATTCCTTGACCACATCTGCCTTACCCTTGACCACATCTGCCTTACCCTTGACCACATCTGCCTTACCCTTGACCACATTTGCCTTACCCTTGACCACATCTGCCTTACCCTTGACCACATCTGCCTTACCCTTGACCACATCTGCCTTACCCTTGACCACATCTGCCTTACCCTTGACCACATCTGTCTTACCCTTGACCACATCTGCCTTACCCTTGACCACATCTGCCTTACCCTTGACCACATCTGCCTTACCCTTGACCACATCTGCCTTACCCTTGACCACATCTGCCTTACCCTTGACCACATCTGCCTTACCCTTGACCACATCTGCCTTACCCTTGACCACATCTGCCTTACCCTTGACCACATCTGCCTTACCCTTGACCACATCTGCCTTACCCTTGACCACATCTGCCTTACCCTTGACCACATCTGCCTTACCCTTGACCACATCTGCCTTACCCTTGACCACATCTGCCTTACCCTTGACCACATCTGCCTTACCCTTGTCCACATCTGCCTTACCCTTGACCAGATGCTTGTCAGCGGGCTGTATGCCTTTTCTTGTTTTTATTCTTTGCTCTCACCGGCTGTAAACTCCGGCGGAAAGTTGTGGTTGTTCGTCCACCTCTGGGCTTTAGTCTTGTTCCAGAACCTGGGTGTTGCGTGTACATTCGTTGTACGGATCTGAATTATTTGTATGCAGACTGTTGGTCCCTTTCAAGCAAATGCACTCCGATTTCAAAGGAAGACCCCAGTTAGTCGACTCTCAAGATATGCGTGTTCGGGTGGTAGTTGGTCTGCTCTTGTTTTCCCGACAATGGACCCTGGACCCCACATACGGATGAGGTTGGGGTGGGTTTCTAATCAATGTCTCCCTAAGATAGGGCCTTGGACAGCCGCGGGGATCTCAGAGTTAACTAAGAATTTCCCCTTGATTTGTGTCAGTTCAGTGGTATCACATCTTTTCTTTTTTTTTTTCAGTTGAACGGGATTTATGGCACTTTATACGGACGGATTTGCATCAGAGTAGTGATTTTTTAAGTCAATTCATGTCAGTTTTCTTGCAGCAACTTATGTATTTCCGTCATGAACTCTCCTTCAGTCTGTGGAGAAGAAAATCGGAGCCTTTGAACTGAAATGCTATGTTAGAATCTTTTAACCAAGAGGAATGAGAACTGGCTCATCAACAGCATTCGCTCCCGAAAGCCTATGTGTTTTGGACAGTATGTCAGGTGCCAGCTCTGGAGAGAACGGGGATGGAGGTGTCGATTCCGGAGAACCAGAAAGCGACTGACCTCCGCGATGATGGATACAGGAAGTTGAAGATGTATTGGCTATGAAAGCACACGGAGCTGGAAGACTGTTGGAGAAAGACTTTCAAGCATAGCGTTGTGCAAAGGACACACTGGTAGATTTGTTGATTCATGCAGAAATGCAGAATGCGATGAAATTTCACAGAAAATCATCCTTACCAATACAGTATTTGAGGCTATATCCGACTTATTTAACCCTTTCCAATGCGCCGACTATTCCTTTATATGGCACTAGATGAACTGACCTGAGCATATGAAACCGAAAGCAAAGAATATGTTTCAGTTAATTTTTTGTTTCACCCCTTTAAATTTATGTTATGATTTTTTACTTTTTCGTACAATTGCCACTTGGTCAGATACACTCCATCTTCAAATGAAGCTCCCAATTAGTCGACTCCTACGACATACTTGTTGGGGAGGCAGTGAGTCTATGCTTGTTTTGTCCACATTGGCGACTCGGAATCCACACAGGGAACGTACAATGTATAAGATGCCCCCAATTTTCAACTGGAAAGGAATTTAGGAAATGTATTATGTTTTCTTCTCAAAGTCCATGCAGTGGGGTATTGGTAGTCATGTCTATCCACAACATTCTCTCTTGTGTATTTTCAATCAGCTCTGACACAGGTGATCTTCCATGCCATGTTGTCAAACTGTCCAGTCGCTGTTCTCTCAGTATTCCTCTGTCTCTCTCACCCTCTAACTTTCCAACTGTCACGATTTACTCCAGTTTTAAATATATTAATGGTTTTTTCTAACAGTGATATTCATCTTCGCCTACGCCTGTGTTGCTGCTCTCAGAATGGTCACCGCTGCTGCAGGCATGCACGCCGCGATGCTGGACCGCGTTCTGAAAGCCCCAATGAGCTTCTTCGACACCACCCCAGTGGGGCGGATCGTCAACCGGTTCTCCCGCGACGTGGACATCCTTGACAATCAGCTGCCCCAGATCGTCTTTATGTGGGTCACCTGTGTGTTTTCTGTAGCGGCCACACTTTTGGTCATCAGTGTCAACACTCCAATATTTACAACCGTGATTGTACCGCTGTTTCTGGCCTACATAGCTATGCAGGTGAGTTTTTCTGTGCCTTCTGCTTCTGCAGGTCTTCCTCCACTTCTTTATCCCCCTCCTCCTCCTCCTTCACTACTTATGTCGTTGCTTCTTCTGCTACTATTACTACTACAAATACTACTACTGATGCAACTGCTTCTACTTCTATAATACTATACCACTGCTACCAACTCTACTATTACATCTACTACCTTTACAGCAGCAGCAACAACAACAACAACAACAACAAAAACTACTACTACTACAACTGTGTGTGTTGTCCATCAAGATGATGATGACCACTCTTTTTCATCCAGTATGAGTACGAAGATGACTGATGAGGCCGATGCGGGCCTGGAAAGTTCTTGGACAGTGAGGACAGGGATTGAATGTTGTGCCAGGGAGGGGATCTCCTGCAGTCGCCTTTCTGTCCATCCTTTTCTTAATCTGTCTTGCTGTTTTTTTTTTTTTTTTTTTTTGCTTCACATGTAGCCGCGCCCTTGTGTAGAGCTGCATGACATGCATTTCTGTCTTGAGAGGCAGCCTCCCAATTGGTGTCATTCATCCCAAATGCTTTGAGTGACGACTTCAAGGTGTCCTTTTGCCCGTCTTGGGAACATTTCTCCTTCTGCAGCTCACCATGGAAGAGTTTTTTGTTTTGTGTTTGGAGCCTGTGATCTGGCATGCGTGCCACATGACGAGCCCAAGGAATTTGATACTGCATCAGTAGAGTGTGGATGCTGGGCATGGCTGCTACAACTACTACCTTTATAGCAGTAGCAGTAGCACCAACAACAACATAAACTACTACTCGTACTACTGCTGCTGCTGCTGCTACTACTACTACTACTTCTACTACTTCTACTACTATAGCTATAACTTAAATACTGTTACTGATGCTGCTGCTTCTACTACTACTACTACTACCACCATGACTAGTACTACTGTTGTGTTGTTGTTGTTGCTGCTGCAGCTACTATTACTACTACTAATCACAATTAACTATTCAACCCACAGAGGTTCTTTGTACCCACGACACGCCAGTTGAAGCGGCTCGAGTCAGTGACGAGATCTCCAATATACTCGCATTTTTCCGAGACACTGTCCGGATGTCACGTGATCAGAGCCTTTGACTCTGTTGCCCGGTTTGTGCAGACTTCCACGGACCTCATTGACAAGAACCAGGTGTTTTACTTCGCAGGCATCAGCGCCAACAGGTTAGAACCTCGTTTGTTTTAAGGGTAAGGGCAGCCGAAAGGGTTAATTCAAATTCGATGTGATAGAATTTATGGCAACAGTGTAGTGATGACCATTAGTGCCGCATAGTTTGGCCAAGACCGGCTTTAGTTGACAGGCCGTGCTGCTGACGTCACCAGGTGGGGCTAAAGATGCGTTAACGCGGTGGTTCTAAAACAATAAATAAACTATTTTCGACCGTGGCTAGGAAGGACAACTTAGATTTTTAACTTTCAAGTATCTACATTCCTTCTTTAATAATTTCACAATTTTTAGCCGACTTTACTTGATTATTTCCGTGGCTCCCCTAGCATACGCTAACGGCACCCCAGTGTACTTCGGCCCCCAAGTTTGAGAACTGCTGCTTTAACGCATCGTTCGCCCTACCCGGTGACGTTAGCAGCACGGCCCGTCAGCTGGAGCCGGTTGTGGTGTGGCATACGATACCACAACATCTGATTTGAGAATGGAGGTGGAGGCAGTCATTATAATTTTGCGCTGGGTTTAGAACCAGCTGCGTACACATGTGGTGAATGTAACTGACCGACAAGGCATGGAGAGAAGGCGGTGGCAGGTATGCTTCGTTCAGGGGCAAGCACCGCTGCAGTAGTCGGGATTTGTTAGCCTCCTTTGAAAATGTGATGCGTGTGTGTTTGGAAACGAACAGACAGATATACTAGTTGGCTCTGCACCTGTTGGTAAACAGATTCATGACAAATTCGATGTTGTCAAGGCTTTTGCAGATGAAGTGAAAAGTGCTGAGAAACAAATTGATACCTAAAGTCTGAACAGAATGGTGCAAGGGGGCGATCTGGCCGACACGCATCACTCAAGAAAAGAGGCGAGACGGGCATAATTCCCGCTCTGCTATTGACGATATCGATGCTAATGATGATGCTGATGGTGATGATGATGATAACGATGACGATGATGATTATAATGATATTAATTATGAAAATGATAATGATGATGATGATGAATATAATGATGATGATGTTATTATATCTACAGGTGGCTAGGAATCTGGGTGGAGGCAATCGGCAGCCTGGTCGTGTTCTTCAGCGCCGTCTTCTCTCTGATGACCCCTGGGATCAACGGGGCTGTGTTGGGATTGTCTGTCAGCTATGCACTACAGGTAGCTCATTGTGTGTCCTTTTTCTAAAGTCCATAACTGAAAAGTCCATAACTAAAGTCCAGATATGACTGAGGTACTATATAATAGTAGCCGGTACTTCCTGTCGTCTGTTCATGCTAAACAGATATAGAAACAAACGAAAAATAGACAAGCGAGCTTCACGATGTAACAAACAGAAAGTGAATGCTGCGGCTACATAGCCTTCGTCAGCACAATATATAAATATTACAAAACCCACACGTATGGACACGAGTATACAAATTTACCTAACTGTCGCATTCCCGATAGAAATCACGTTGTTGCACAACCTCAGAATAAAAGATTTGTGTAGCCGTCAACAAAAAATAACTAAGGGCCGTGATTCAAGGATATTAGGGGAAAGTGTGTTAACAGTTAGATCCCCTAGACGTTTTTGTACCATGGGTAAAAATTAAGCGGTTTTGAAGAGGTTTACTGACTCTGTCGCTGGGATGACTTGATTTAATTGCCGTCAACTCCATGTCACGGACACCTTACTCTGGTGGCGTATACAAAACCAATTGTATCCTAAGAAGAGGTAATGCAAAATGAAAACTTTATGTTATGTCATCCAGTCTAGGAGGTTGGCTTCGACAGGCGAACAGAACACTGCTCTTCTGATCGGGCAGCTTCAGCCCCCCCCCCCACCAAACGTACCGGTACCTTTCCTTTGGAGTAATAAAGGCAGGCCGGGCGAGGGATCATGATGCATGGACAGCACATGGTATCGACAATACCGGAAAGGTTTTGTACTAAGGAAAGGAGGCCGTTTCAAGAAGCCTCGAAAATACTGTTTTAAATAGGAATTCTTCAAATTCATTTAAGAAAAAGTAAAAGGCACGAATGCAGCTTACCACAAGCATCTCATATACACACTTATCTAATTGTTGTCATGTTATGAGAAGAAAGAAATTGGAATTTGTTGTGGAAACTTGAAAGATATGTTTGAAAAGAAACAGAGGAAGACAACGCTAGAAGATTCTTGGTAGCCATTCGTAATGGCATGGAGGGGTGTCAGCACACGAACTTATACTGTCGATGACTTATAAAACAGATGTACTCTCATGCTCCTATGCTGTCGATGCCCTGATGTCTTTTTTTCTCTTGGTCTTCTTCTGCCTTTCTTTATTTCCTACTCTGCTACTAAAGGTTATTGGCTACCAAAGGTAACTGATTAACAAAGGTAATTGCTGCTACTACTACCACTACTACTACTGCGGCTGCTGTTGCTGCTACTACTACCACTACCACTACTACTTTTGCGGCTGCTGTTGCTGCTACTACTACCACTACCACTACTACTACTGCGGCTGCTGTTGCTGCTACTACTACCACTACCACTACTACTACTACTACTACTACTACTACTACTACTACTATAAATATCAGTCATCACAATCTTCATCTTGATCACCACCATCATCATTATCAGTGTCCTTTCAACACCATTTCCACTCACATCACCATTTCCATCATCGTCACCCCCACTGCCATCATTATCACGTGTCTGAAGACCGGTCCCACCTTTCCCTCCACAGATCACTCAAGCGTTGAAGTGGCTAGTTCGGACAATGAGTGACATTGAGACCAACGTGGTCAGTGTGGAGCGAGTTCAAGAATACTCCCAACTGGTCCAGGAGGTAGAGCCATGTTGTTGTAGTTTTCATTTTTAACAAATGGAGAAAGAAAATTCAAGTCTCCTTCAACCTGCTTCTTGTTAAGCGTTTGTTATTTTTAACTCTTTGAGTCCCAAGGAACGCATTATACGTTCATAGGTTCTTACCTGGAAGTCCAATGTACGCATGATGAACCGATTTTATCACTCTCTTTACTACCCCCCGGGCCTGTGATACTTAACCCTCGGAACTCAAAGAGTTAAAACTTCAGATTTCTTTGCGAGATGGCTTTCGTTTTCCTTGGTGGCACTATGTTGTGAATCAAGTGTGAGAATGGAATTGGAGGCAATCACTGCAGCTCTGAACTGGATAGCAGAAAACAAAGCTACCAGAGAAATTATTGTGTCTGATTCTCAGTTGCAATTGCGGAAGGTTCAAAAGGGACGACTGTGGCATGAGTGGATACTATGCATCAGTACGACAACATTGCGGCGAATTCCGTGGATATACTATCCAGGACTGGCAGAAATGTCTGTTTAAATGAAATAATGTTGGTTTTTCAGGCTGTGCGCCGAAAGAGATCACATGCGATAAATGAGGCGGTTTTCTAGGGACTTTTTATCCTAACAATCTTCATCATGTGCCGTGCCGGTGAGCGTAGGCTGTTTTACACGATTACCAGAATCACGGATCATGTCAATGTTTTTTGTCTCGGCTTGCCTGTATGAATAAACCCCTCAAACATTTATCTTTGCGTTTTTCAACTAGCCGCCCCCCTCCCTTCCCCTAATCAATCTTTCCAGTTTTTTACCATGTTCACGAGTTCATTCTTTATTACACAAACACACACACACACACACACACACACACACACACACACAAGCCATCATTAGTGGGGAGGAGGGATCATTGACTAGGCCAGACGACACGGATTGTGCAGGTTGGGGTTCAGTTTCGCACTCAACCCGAAACGAAAAGAAAATAAAACCCCATACCCGTACCAGCAGTTCGAACCTGGGTCTTCCCTTGAGGGCCCAACGCTCATCACAACTAGGCCAGTCGCTCCTCTTCCATAGCATGAACAGGTTTACTTCCGATATCCAAACACGTGCCATATATTCTACTGGCCAGACAGAAATGTGATTTCTGTCGGAGATACTTCAGTTAAGCAACTCTTTTGTCTATTTCTGTTCTATTGTGTAGTAGTGTAGATTAATGTGATGCGCTGACGAAGGCTTTCTGACTGCAACGTTAACTTGCCGTTTGTGTTTGTGATATTGCTGCTTCTACTTCTCTTAAGGTTTGATAACTCTTCAATATTATGATATATCTAAAAACTTAAATTGTATCTGACCAACAACAAAAAAATATCTTGCTTATGTGATCATCCTAGGCTGCACGTTACACGCCCCTGAGGTCTCCTAACGAATGGCCCTACCACGGACAGATCGTCTTCAGACAGTACTCTACTCGCTACAGGGAGGGTCTGGAGCCGGTACTCAAGGGGCTGGATTGTGTCATTCAGCCTGGAGAGAAGGTATGTCAGATGTGTGTGTTGTACACGTTTACTGTGGTTGTCGCTGATGTTGCTGTCAATGTTGTTGTTGTTGTTGTCGTCGTCCATTTAATTGTTGTTACTGCTATTGTCGTTGATGTTGCTGTCGTTGTTGCTACTGTTGTTATTATTGCTGTTGCTGTGTATGTTGTTGTTGCTGTCTTTGTTGCCACTATTGTTGTTATTGCTGTTGTTGTCGCTGTTGCTGCTGTTGTTGTTATTGCTGTTGCTGTGTATGTTGTTGTTGTTGTCGTTGATGTTTTTGTCGTGGCTGTTGCTGTCTACTGTTGTCGTGTTTGTTGTTAGTGACGACAAGGTTCTTTCCGTTGAAGCTGATGCTGTGTTCAAGAAGACAAGAATATGTCGGGGCGATATTGGTGTAGTGGGGATCCTCCTGACCCTGTACCGAGTCTAAGGAGTGTGGGTTCAATTCGACGTGCGAGTGCAAGCTCGCTGAAGATTCCTTGGGTGGCCGCTAAGCTGCGGAATTAGTACTTTGTGCTACACTGAAGCGAACGACTCGCAATGCCAGGAAACATTACCTAGCCTTGTGATTTAAAACAAAAGGAAGAGAAGGGAGAAGGAGAAGGATGATAAAAATTATGATCACGATGATAAAGAAGAAGAGGAGGGAGATGATGATAATGATAATGATCACGATGATGAAAAAGAAGAGGAGGCGGAAAATGATGATGTCCATGGCGATGATGAATAAGGGGAGGAGGAGAAAACGAAATAACTAATCCCTACATATGTAAAGGGAGCCATTGTGGTGTAGCGGCTAGACTCTAGCCTGTGGATCCAAAGGTATCGTGAGTTCAGACCCTGACGGAAACGAACATTTTCAAAAATGAAAAATGGACACAAGGTAAATTCCTGCGAAATAAACGGGGTCGTTATGATATGAATATAACTCTAGCCATTTGTGCTCAATATGCCATGAAGGCGTGAGATCGGGTCCTTTACTGACCTGTCGACGATATCTTTTCCCTCATCCACAGATTGGCATTGTTGGTCGCACGGGAGCGGGGAAGTCGTCACTCACTCTCGCCTTGTTTCGTCTGTTAGAGGCCAGCTACGGGGAAATCATCATCGACAACATCCCCATCTCGGCCCTCGGCCTGTATGACCTCCGGTCTAAGATCACCATTCTGCCACAGGTACTGCAACAGCTGTGTTGTTCTGTAGAACCAGTCGGCGTCATATTATCACAAACGACAGTTAAACGTTGCGGTTAGAAAACCTTCATCAGCAATAGAACCAGTCAGCTTCATTTTATCCCAAACACAAACGACAGTTAAACGTTGTGGCTAGATAATCTTCATCAGCACTAGGACCAGTCAGCTTCCTATTATCACAAACACAACTGACAATTGAACGTTGCGGCTACAGAGCCTTCATCAGCACATTAGTTAGTTAGTTAGTCGACAAATTATCCTCATTGCACATCCAACCATCCAGTTCATAAGTGCACGGATCCCCTCCTCAGTAAATCCCGCAGCATGTTTTAATTCACTCAGCGACTAAATTTCTCTTTTAAACACTTTTTTACTCCCTTCGCATTCCACTGCAGTCTTTTGAGACTAGATATATTGGCAAATATAGATATATTTCCTGTAGCTTTTGTACGTGGCATCCTGATTTTTACGACTTCCCCCCCCCCCCCCCCTTTCCCCCTTCCGTATGGTTGCCTCCGACTTCAGCAGCTAATTTTTATTATTCTGTATATCATCATCATCATCATCATCATCATCATCATCATCATCATCATCATCATCATCATGATGTAGCAGGTCCTTTGCAGAACGTCGCTCTCATCACAGTCTGCCTGAAAGAAATTCGGTCTCTCGCCAGTTCTCCCGCCTCGTGTACTTTCACACTCAAGGAGTCACTTATATCCTGTGCCCATCTCCGTGTCGGTCGACCCCTACCCCTCCTTCCTGGCACCATGCCTTCTGTTATACTTTTTTTCTAATCCGTCATACCGCTTGATGTGACCGAAATATTTCAGCTATCGAAAAAGGATGCTGTTTATTAGCCAATCTTCCTTGATGTTCATTCAGATCTTTGAAGATGTCAATATTTCTCATCGTCTTTGTCCAAGATATTCTGAGAATATTTCTATAGCATTTCAGCTCAAAAGCCCCTATTCTCTTTCTTAAGGACTGAGAGATAGTCCACAACTCACATCCATATGTAGCCACAGGTATATTCTGGTATATGGCAATATATATATATATATATATATATATATATATATATATATATATATATATATATATATATATATATATATATATATATATATATATATATAAAGAAGATAACTGTACATCGTTTCTCAATACATAAGCTCCCACAAGTCATGCACTGAAAATTTAATTCTACACTTTGTAATTAATAGGATCCGGTTATATTTTCTGGAACACTACGGGAAAATTTGGATCCAAATTTGGAACACCTGGACCAAGAAATCTGGACAGCGCTGACCATGTCCAACATGAAGCATTATGTGTCTGCTATGCCAGCTGGCCTTTATTCTGAAGTTGGAGAAAATGGTCTTAGTTTAAGGTATGTGGTGAAGTCTATATGTTTGTTGCTCTTTTTCTTCACATCCGTCTCTTTCTCCTGCCTGGTTTTTATTTCTTTCTATTTCTCCTTCCTCATTTCTCCAGCTTCTTTCACTTTTTTTTTCTATTTCTTCCGCTGTTTCTTTCCGTTAATTATTTCTATGCATTTCTTTCTTTCTTTCTTTCTTTCTTTCCTTCTTTCTTTCTTTCTTTCTTTCTTTCTTTCTTTCTTTCTTTCTTTCTTTCTTTCTTTCTTTCTTTCTTTCTTTCTTTCTTTCTTTCTTTCTTTCTTTCTTTCTTTCTTTCTTTCTTTCTTTCTTTCTTTCTTTCAAACGGTTTAGAATGCCAGGTTGGTTTTCGGGAAATGAAGATTCGATTTAACAATAGGGTAGTAGATGTCTTTCTTTCTTTCTTTCTTTCTTTCTTTCTTTCTTTCTTTCTTTCTTTCTTTCTTTCTTTCTTTCTTTCTTTCTTTCTTTCTTTTCTTTCTTTCTTTCTTTCTTTCTTTCTTTCTTTCTTTCTTTCTTTCTTTCTTTCTTTCTTTCTTTCTTTCTTTCTGTATTTCTTTCTTTCTTTCTTTCTTTCTTTCTTTCTTACTTTCTTTCTTTCTTTCTTTCTTTCTTTCTTTCTTTCTTTCTTTCTTTCTTTCTTTCTTTCTTTCTTTCAAACGTTTTAGAATGCCAGGTTGGTTTTCGGGAAATGAAGATTCGATTTAACAATAGGGTAGTCGATTTCTTTCTTTCTTTCTTTCTTTCTTTCTTTCTTTCTTTCTTTCTTTCTTTCTTTCTTTCTTTCTTTCTTTCTTTCTTTCTTTCTTTCTTTCTTTCTTTCTCTTTCTGTCTTCTCTTTCTTTCTTCTTTCTTTTCTTTCTTTCTTTCTTTCTTTCTTTCTTTCTTTCTTTCTTTCTTTCTTTCTTTCTTTCTTTCTTTCCTTCCTTCCTTCCTCCTTCTTCTTCTTCTTCTTCTTCTTCTTCTTCTTCTTCTTCTTCTTCTTCTTCTTCTTCTTCTTCTTCTTCTTCTTCCTCTTCTTCTTCTTCTATAAATTGCTAAACCTACATCAATTTTTAGAAGCCGCCGTGGTGTATTAGCCAGACCCTCACCTGTGCATCGGAAGGTCGTTGTTTGGGGTCCTGACAGAGCCAGACTTAGACAAAAGAAGACCTTGGTTCGCACGTCCACTCAGCCTTCAATGGATACCAGGTAAAGTCCTGGGAAGTAAAGGCGACCGGCTTGATGCTGACAACATCACCCACCTAGTGCTGACTGGTCTATAGTGGCCAGTATGGGGACTACTATATAGGTCTAGCCCTATGTGCCCAATACACATAAAGACATGGAAAAAGGGTTCTTCACAGATTTTTTCAAGGGTCAACTTGCTCTGACCTTCACTTCAATGTGACATCTGACCTTCACTTCAACGTGACCTTTGACCACCACTCTGCGGTTGACAGAAGGTTGACGTATCATGACCATTTCTTCTGTACTCCCAATTTGCCGTGACAGCTTTCATGCCAAGAAAGGTTAGAAAGCATTTGAAGGTCGCAGTTAACCTCCGATATCTGGATCTACACACCTGGGCACGCGGAAGTAAAGGTTAAAGAGAGAGCTGACCGGCTGGCAAGTAATGCGTCAATACAAATGGGATGAAGTATGTACAGTTTATATCATCAGCGCTCTACGGACAATTTGGGGGGGGGGGTGGGGGGAGATAGCAAATCTCTGGCGCTAACACGACTGCGTGACCGAGCAGTTAAGCTTGGTGAAGTACGTTAATGTCGGCTTTTAGGTAAAGACAGGAGATACTATAACAAGTTTCTCATGAGAACAATCAGTAGAGGTACCTTAGAGTGACTGCTGTATTGTAGGACTGAGCACGCATGGGGATGCCCAATGTGCAAAGACGTCGAGTGTCATAACATAACACAACATAACATAACATAACATAACACAACATAACATAACATAATATAGCATAATATATCATAACATACCACAACATAGCATGACATAACATAACATAACATAGCATAACATAAAATATCATAACACAACATATCATAACATAACACAACATAACACAACATGACACAACATATTATAACACAACATAACACAACATAACGTACAATGTCCTGTCCACTACCCTCAGCTCCGGCCAGAGACAGCTCTTGTGTTTGACCAGGGCCCTGTTGAGACGGACAAAGATCCTGGTCCTTGACGAGCCGACGTCATCAGTGGACGTGGAGACTGACACCCTGGTACAATCCATGGTGAGGAGGGTGTTCCGCAACTGCACAACCATCACGGTGGCGCACCGGATCAACACGATCCTAGACTGCAATAGGTTCGTGTGTGTGTGTGTATTGTTTGAGTGCTGTTGACGTATTGTTGTAATGCTGATTACCTCTTCGTGTACTATTGATGTATTGTTGATGTACTGTTGACGTATTTTGAGTTATTGTTGGTGTATTTTGGGGTACTGTTGGTGTATTGTTAGTGTGCTCTTGATGTGTTGTTAATGTATTGTTGAGGCATTTATGTGTATTGTTAATCTGTTTTTGATTCCTTGTTGATGCATTGTTTGTGTAATGTTGGTGTAATCTTGATGTATTGTTGATATTTTGCTGATGCGTTGTTCATGAACTGTTGATGTTTTTTATTGTATTTTTGATGTATTTTGAATGTATTGTTGATATCATTCTGATAAATAGTTGATGTATTGTTGATTTTTTGTGGGTAATGTTGGTGTGTTGTATTATTGCTTCATTGTTGATTTATTGTTTGCCTATTGTTGATTCCTTGTTGATGTGCAGTTGATGTATTTTGATGTATTTTTGATGAATTGGTATTGTGTCATTGATGTATTGTTGGTGTGTTGTTAGTGCCTTGTTGGTGTATTGTTGGTGTATTATTAATTATGTTGTTGGTGTTTTGCTGGTGTGTTTTTAGTGTATTGATGTATCTTTAATGTGTTACTGATGTATTGTTTAAGTTCCGTCTCAAAAATTTTGATAATTGTTAATGTGTGTTGTATTATTGATGTATGGTTAATCTTTTGTTGCTACAATTTTGAAAAACTGTTGATTTATTGTTGATGTAACTACAATTTTTAGAATTTTTTAATGTATTGTTCAGGTGTTGTTGCTAAAATTCTGATAAATTGTTGATGTATTGTTCATGTGTTGTTACTAACCTTTTGATAAATTGTTGATGTATTGTTGGCCGTCAAAAATAACATGGAACCCATACAGGGGGAGTTATTGCGTATTCTATTTAATTGTATTTTGTTGGTTTGTTTCAGAGTGATGGTTCTTGAAGCCGGCTCCATAGTCGAGTACGACAACCCTCAGTATTTGCTGCAACAGGAAGAAAGCCATTTCTATAAACTAGCCAAGTCTGACGGGATCATTTAA